TACATGAAGCACTGCACCTCTCCGAAAATTTTCCCTTTGTTAATTACATACATTAATTTTTGTACTTTTAATCTAATTACTCTAGAAACTAAATCGTGTCTGTCAGTACTTTTTGGCCCGGCATAAGCTCCTCAGTTATTTCTTTCCATGTGGGATTGCAAGTAAAAGTAACAAAAAGATCAGGTCTACTGTAAGTTCGTACGTAGGCGAATGCGTCTTGTGTGTACTGATGTAGGTAGCGGGGACTGTTAACGAATGCTGAGGGCAGAATTACTATTTTACCTAAATCTCTGGGGTTTACATTGGCGTCGCTAGAAACTGCATCTTGTAAATGTATATAATTCTCAACGCGCAGCTTTTTTTATTTAAAGATATATAACTGAGACGTTTACTTTCTACCTTCACATAAATGTCTACCAAACATCGATGAAATAATTGCCTACACCGGACTAAGAGGTTAAAATCATTTTCTTGCAACATCATATGATACGCATAAAAATCCATACATGATACTTTTTTGTTCGGAGTAGGCTCCTTTGTGACCGGGTTAATGAGTGGAATTTGAAAATGGTAACCCTCTTGTCCTTTGCAATAAATCAATGGGTATTGCAGAGCGTCATAAAACTTGGATGTATCGTCTACCCGTTGCAACGTATCATCACGTGCTCGAATCACGTGACAATGTCTCGTGAAGAAAATTGATCACCACTAATTACGGCTGCTATTTCGTTTATCAAAGGTGCATTGTAGCGCCTTTCATGCTCTCCTAGAGGGGTCCGATCTGCGTGAATGACGACTTTATAATCCTCTTCAGGTAGGTTTTCTAAAGCAGTTTTAAATGTTTTGACTAAAATGTTACGTTCATGCAAGAATCTTTGAATTTTGAACACTGTGTCTCTCTCAATTCCCTGAATAAATTGGCAGCGACGGTCTACCTCAATTTCTTCGTAACCCATAAAATATATATAAGTTTTCAGCTGGAAAAAGTGAACCTATTCTATGATAAATTTGCCCTTGCACCGTAAATGTAGGCGAAAATCCCGGCATTATTATTTCCCGGTCAACTCCGAAGGACGTCATTTGAAAGCATGAGTTATATTTCCGGATCCTGTTTAAAAAGCGTCGTGACTCATTAGCATCAATTAAAAAGGGAGTTTTCAAAGGTTCTTCTGGTTCCCCAAGTAACGGAAGAGACACTTTGCCATTGGAACAGCACATGCCTGCGGTCTCATATTTCCATTTTAAAGTGCTGCAAAATCGACACGCCTTGTCCATCAGTTCGATAACAACTAACCTGTGATTTTTATAATCAATCAACGGATCATAATTGAATGCTGCGTCATTAAAAACCGTCCAATTGTTTCTTTGAAAATTTTGTCGACGTTCAGCTTGGAGCTGTGCATTTGCATCTCTTCGCAGGTCCCTGTTCCTGTGTATGTTCTGGTGTTTCAAATGCCCTTATAGTAGATTGACGTTCAGCTTGCTCAATGAGTCTGTGTTGAGTTTCATCAGGTGTTTCCGCGGCTCTTAAGGCGGCCTGACGTTCTGCTTGTTCGAATAGCCTTTGCTGACTTTGAGCAGATGTTTCAGTAGCTCTTAAAGTAGCTTTACGCTCTGTCTTTTCAAGACGCCTTTGCTGACTTTGAGCAGGTGTTTCAGTAGCTCTTAAAGTAGCTTGACGCTCTGCCTGTTCAAGATGCCTTCACTGACTTTGAGAAGGTGTTTCAGAAGCTCTTAAAGTAGCTTGACGCTCTGCCTGTTCAAGACGCCTTTCCTGACTTTGAGAAGGTGTTTCGAAAGCTCTTAAAGCAGCCTGATGCTCTGTCTATTCAAGACGCCTTTGCTGACGTTGAGAAGGTGTCTCAGATGCTCTAAAAGCAGCCTGACGCTCTGCTTGTTCTTGCCTTCTCAGTTCATCATCTTCTAAAGATTCTAGCGATCGAGCTAATCTTTTCGCTTGTCTTTGAGAAGATACTCTTGAAAGGCTGGACTTACGTTTGCGAGGCATTATGAAGTAACTAAAAACCTATTTATAAAAAAAACGGTAAAATACCTAAAAGGAATTAAATTTCCTTTTAAATATTTTTTTAAAAGCAAATCCAAAATATCTAAAAGGAATAAATATTCCTTTTAAATATTTTTTAAAACCAAAACAACAAAACCAATTCAAGACACAGCACGAATCCGAAAACTATAGCCAAAAAAATCGAATCAACTTAAACCAAATCACAAAACAAATCGCAGAAAACCAAAATCGAAAGCAGTAGTCAAAATAAATATAATCAATGAAAAAAGAAGTAAGTCTATAGGTACCGTATACACTATCTAGACTATTAATATTCCTTTAAAATATTGTTAAACAACCTAAAACAACGAAAACCAATTCACGATTCTAAATAAATAAAATCCAAAATCAGAACCAGAGTCTAAATATGTATGAAGGAATACCAACCAAATCAACAAAACCGATCCTATAATATACACAAATCCGAAAATGAAAGCCAATATAAATCCATTCAACTTTAACCAAATCACAAAGCAAATAACAAACAACCGAAATCGAAAGCAGGTAGTCGAATAAGCTACGAAATAGAAACAATTTTATCGTATAGGTACCGTATGCACTATAAGTTGATGCGCGGCTCAACGGCGGGAGTTAAGTACATGTCAGGAGACATTTCGTTACCGCGTTTTAAAAACCTAGTCATGACATGACTGACATCTAGCGGAATTAATTTAAACTATGTATACGTTAGTTAATAATAACTCTCAAAAAATATTTTTCCTATAATTTTGCACAATTTTTCTTATTGTAATACCGATACATTCATAACCACATATAAGAACAGTATTCATTTGCGTTCAATAAATATTACTAAGGCTTATTAATAAGGCTTACTAAGAACTGTTTCTACCACAGTTAAGTAACAGTTAAGGGTTAAAGCGTGACAGGTAGTGATAGTATTTCTGATCCATACTTATAATCACGCCTGTAACCCTTGCGGGGTAGGCAGAGCATCAACGGATTACTTAATATCGTCTGCGAGGTTATCGCCTATTCTGTGAACTACAATGCACCAAAACGTTTGAAGAAAATCAGCTGGTGAATTTTATGTTTTTTATCGCTCTCTTTCCAGTCCTGCGTGGAAAAATACAGATCCATACATTTTTTATCTTAATTTTGGTAAAAAGACATAATAATCCAGATATTCTGACCTTCTGTGTTCGTCCATCGTACCGTCGTCCGTCTTGTAGAATCACGGTGGCGCCACCTAGCTGAATTTAATTTTGCAACATATTCGATTTTCCCACGGGAATGAAAGGTTGTTCCGCTGGAAAAAGTAGCCTATTCACCACCGAACTATCCCCATACCAAAATTCATGCCATGCCGACGCGCTGTTGCGACGTGAAAGGACAAACTTTTGCAATATATTCCATTGTCTCACGGAAATGAGATTTTCTTCCGCGGAAAAAAGTAGCCTATGTCACTTTACAGCCACTGAACTATCCCCATACCAAAATCATGCATGCCACGAACAACCATTATATAATGTTTTTCTACTAATCATGCCATGCCGATGCTCTGTTGCGACGTGAAAGAAGGACAAAAAACAAACAAACAAACAAACACACTTTCGCATTTATAATATTAGTATGGATGATGTGCCGTTATTGCAGTTTTTGATAATATGAGTAAAAAAGGCTTCTACTTTTATTTGAAATTATCCCAAATTTAATGTGATTTACAGGCAACAACGATTTTGCCTACCGATGGACCCTTATGAATGAGTGCATGCGCAGTAAAATCAGTAAAATAATGCATTGCCACGCAATTATAATTTAAATGATAAAAAAGACAGACAATGTTTGAGATTTTTTAATTTAACTTTTCTTCATCATTTGCCAACATTTCTCATTCTGAACCTTGTATGCAAATTTGGCCGATTATTATTGCAAAATAAACCTGTATAGCGAAAGGTGCTAGCACACGTGCCTTGAAAGTCACAGGTGCTGGCAGTCATTTTATTTGTTTTAATTGCAAGATAAATGAAATTTAATTGCAAGAAATATTAACAAATACGATATTACAACTTAAAATTCATAGTTTTAATAATTTGCATTAAACTGTAACTACTATTTAAATGCATTTTAATTTATAAAGAAATATACGAGTATGTTCCGGTTTAAATTTTTTATCGATTAGCTATCGATAAAAAAATTATCGATATATACTTAAAGCAAACTAAAATTATCGATATAATTTTCGTATCGTTTATCGCCTTTCTTAAATCAAGTTAATATTGTTCCATCCCTAGACACGCTAAGCTGTAAGCTGTCACCCGCACCATTCTATAAGGCATATAGTAGTCAGGCATTTGGCCGCCCCATATATATAGTCAAACCTGGGTAAGTGAGAACTGGATAAGTGAGAAAACTCTATAAGTGTGAGTAATAGCCAGGACGCGTCATTTTAATCACCCAAAACCTCTATTAGTGAGAAACAGAAACCTCTGTAAGAGAGAGTCGTTTTTCCCTCATCGACCTCCGTAAGTGAGACTGTTATTTATCTATACCTCTAGAAGCGACAGTCGAGCTTTATTTATTTATATTATTTAGGAGGATCTATAGCTACAATAAAAATACATATATATATATATATATATATATATATATATATATATATATATAACATACACATATACAGTAACAAATTACAAAACAAATTATAAATTTAACATCCTACCATTTGAACTTCCTACCATTATTTTTATTGGTTTCTCATCAATATTGTACATATTCTATTATCCCATACGGACTTACCAACACTTGCAAACGTAAAAGTAATGTTTTTACCTGCTAACACCACTAGTAAACTTCAACTATTATATCAAGGCATCATTCACACATTTAAACGCTTTTATCGCAGAGAAGTCGTTAAACATTCTTTCTTACGAGTCTGGAAGAAAACAGTAGCCCTGATATTAACGTACTTCTAGCTATGAAATTTGCTAGAAAAGCATGGTACTTAGTCAGTGACATTACTGTCAAAAACTGCTTCAAGAAAGCTGGGTTTTGGAAAAGTACAGATGAGCAAGACCTGCCAGAGGAAAATGATGTTGAAGTTGGACCTAGCAACGAGGAATGGACTAAGATTGTGTCTCACGAATCCAATATGTTAATGCCGAGCTTCGAAGATTTCGTTCAAATTGACGACAACGTAACTACCGCTGGAGAACAAACTGACGACATCGTTAAGAATTATGTGTAACACCTGTATTGCTGGAAATGCCAGTGAAAACGAGTCACAGATTCCGGAAACAGAAATAAAGATCATTCCAATGAAGCTAGCTTTAAATGCGTTGGAGACGGTCTCAGTACTTTGAATACGCGGCGGTTGTTGATCAAGCAATATTTGACAAAATTTATAGTTAACGAGAGTTTATGAGTTAATGAGAAAAACATTCAAATTACAAAAACAGAAAACCCAAACGAAATTGACGGATTTTTTAAGTGTAAATAAGTTCTAAATAAAATATAATTACATAGTACATGCATTTCTGTTTTGTTTTCATAAGCATCTTGATACCTACCCTTATTATAAATTTTATGTCGAAGTCTAATGAACGTAACATATACACACTATTAAAAATATATATTTACATAATGTATGTTGTGAATATTATTCACCTAATTTTATCATATTACATATTTACCACATTCGTACTTGCTTTTACTTGTTATTACTGCGTACCTCTATAAGAGAAAAACGCTACCCATGTACCTGCATTAGCGAGAAAGTCGGGTTAGTGAGAAACCTCTAGGTATAAGCGAGAATGAGATTGTGCTCCCTTGAACTCTCGCTTATCCAGGTTTGACTGTATATATTAACTTACTATTTTTTACTTTACCTTAATATAATACTTAATGTTTAAAAATCTATTTTTTACTATATTCTTAGTAATTCATTTTGGTAGTTTCAAATATTACTTTAAGATATTTTATACGACTGTAAATAAAAAAATATTAATATTAATAATGCGACGTCAAACTAGGTAAGGCATATATTTTATTTTATCACGTGAATCGCAGTAAATTAATTTTTAACGTCTTTAATTATCTTAACTTTATAAACTTGTGTCGAGACTTGTGTATTAGAATATTTAAAAAAATATAGAATATTTTTTCTCCACATTATACATAGTGTAGAAATAACCTTAATAGGGACAAGTAAAACATAAAAACAAAGGATACGATATCAATAATTCATTCATTGATGATTTATGATTCATGGAAAATATTTGTCATGATTGAATGGAAAATATTTGTCGATATATTTCATGCTTTTGCGCTATCAGTACAAATTGTTCACAAAGCAAATTCGCATTGAATGGAGTATATTTGGGCATATTTCACGCTTTTGTGCTATCAGTTCAATATTGTTCATCAAACCAATGAATACAACAGAAAATGTATATTTTTTAATTGTCCAAATAATTGACTTAAAATGTCTCTAACCCATAATTGATCTAAGTAATGTTTGAATTGATTAATTCAAAATCTGGGTAATGTTTGAATTAATTAATTCGAAACTTCTAAGTAATGTCACTACGTTCTCCCTTTCTATCAGCCGGAGATTAAGTTAAAAAAAAACCAATGAGCTCCATCGCTGCCGTTGTGGTTAAGAGGTCGACTTTCTTGGCCACCACGGCCTGGCACGCCAGCGGGGTGTTGGTCGCATCCTTCACCGTGCAGCCATTAAAGGCCATCAGGTACGTTTGCACTGGTTAAGACGGGTTTTAACCAGTGCAAACGTACCTGCAATTTTAGAGCCAAACGGTATATTGCGGGACGATGGCAAGAGGCCTGACGGAATGACGCACATTCCATGAAAACATGGGCGCTCTTTAGTTTGATGCAAATTGTGTTGACACACTAGCGCTATCACATCCTACGGCGACTGCACAGAAGGCAGCTGCGACTGCTGTTGTTGCCGAGTCTAACAAGCGGCATAAATAGGTAGCCATCAGAGAGGGATAAATGTTTGTGCCGATTGGTGTAGAAATGATGGGGCCTTGGGGTCCTGAAGCAGCACGTTTGTACAAAGATATCTCATCACACCTTGTCAATGTCTCTGGTGACCCAAAAACTAGAAGATATTTTAGTCAGCGGATCAGCCTGGCAATACAGCAAGGCAACCCAGCCAGACTTCTGGGCACACTACCAACAGACGGCGGCGAATTAGCAAGTAATTTTGACTTTCATAATGTAAAATTTTGTGAAACACTATTTTCCTTTACTTTGTTTATTATGTTAACTAGAAATATTTAGTAATTAACATAATATTGAATAAAACTATTATTTACGGATTTTATCGCGTTTTAAAACGATCGAAAGTAGTGATAAAGATGATAAAGGTGTGAGACGTCGGGTACAGCGATCGCCAGTCCATCTGCGAATTATGTCGATTAATTTAAAAAAAGCTAAATCCCCTTAAAATATAAATACAATTTATTTGAGTGTTTAAGTTAACAGTGTCCACTGACGGAAACAATAGGAAACTTTGTTATTTTGAACAGAGTGCGCATTGTTTATGAAATGAAATAGCAGAAACTATAACTCTACATGACGATATAATATTCGTATAAAAGTCCTTCATGAAAATGAAATCTAAAATTAAATATGTTTTCTCGATTTATACTGAAGTTCTGATTTGTAGGATTGGAGACGAGTATGTTATATTTTTAAGCCGTATTTAAAGAGGTTCCCAGTTCGACATTATACGCAATATGTCAGTTGTGAACCGATTTAAAAGGATATCTTTCTTTTGTTAAATGAGCTACCTCAGGAATGGCCCCATTTAAAGGAGACGGGTGAAAGTTCATAGAAAGTTGGGCCTGATGTTACAGCAACGATTACTGTATTATTTTATTTATATATCAATACCATTTAAAAAAAAACTAAAATGTTTACGAGTGAAGCAAAATAACAACCTATATTTTTTTCTACCATGAAGGTAGAAAAAAAATATAGGTTGTTATTTTGCTTATGCTATTCATACAATGTTATTCTCACACCAAGCTCTCACATTACTATTAGAGTTTTATTTATTTATATATTAGAAAATAATTATTAGACTTTATTGTAAACTAGACTTCAGCATAATTTTATGTATTGTAGGACATTCACAAATAGAAGATTCAGACGCCGCCGTCCAACTAAATTCTAGAAGTTTGAAATAATTATAAAAAAGCAGAAGGAGGATGAATTAAAAACATTTTCTCTTTTAATGATTTATTAATCTTCCATCATAAACAAATAAAATATCGTCTAAAAACAGTGCAGGCGGTATTAAATTCTCTTGACGCCTTGCACAGCTTAGGTACCATATTATGGACATTACATGACAACAGCAACCTACAGTTCTTTTTCCTACCAAAGAATTGATATAATACTGTTTGATGATATCTCTACCATTAAGAGGACTGTCAACTAAAATATATGTAAAATATGTTTTTGAGCTTAAGCATATGTCTCGATTTTATTCGACCTCTCAGTGGCCAGCGAGAATGGTTGGATAGTACCATTCTAGGTGGCTATTAAGAGGTCGAATAAAGACAATTATTCTCTTAGTAGGTTGCTGTCCGTTTCTAGACACACTTCTATTTCATATCTCCCACCTTGTATGTGTTCACCATAATGGGACCTAGTCTACTTAATTTGATAAATACCTAAAGATATTTTTATTAAATTACTGTGTGTGAGCTGGGGAAAATCATTTATCATTTTGCACATGTATTCTTGAAAAATCAGAAAAGAAACCGTCAGAATCATTTATACTTAGCCAGAGTCGTTAAAGATGGGAATATTACAGCACAGAAAAACAACAGAAAATATTCACTACCACCGCAAGCTCAGAGCCAAACAAAAGTTCCCTATATAAAAAAGTACTCTGTGAACAAAAGTAACAAATGGTTTGAGTGACGTTTTTAGTTTTTAAACTAACGTTGACATTTCCGCTTTGTGGCCTGTCTAAAACATTGATAATCGATTGTGAAATCGATTTATTAATTTATTCAGTCTATTTATTTTTACGACTATTTTGAAACGGTAAGGTGTCACGAGGGAACCATTATTTAAATAAGAAGTTTCTTAAACTCACCTAAAGAAGAAAAGATTGAATCACTTTTTATTTACTTTTTCTATTTTTGTATTAAAATCGATTAACTAACCTATTTCATCTGGCAGCATTGTTTAAAAATAAAAATAACGGAAGTCAGTATTATTCTTATTAAATATTTAATTACTTTTGCCATGATAAAACTGCTTAAGGTGGCACAAGTCGCGGGCTCGAACTCATTGGTGGGCGCGACCAAAAAGCACGTTGTCTCACCTGGCATCGTGCCCGACAGAGATAGTATCAGTGAAGAGCAGTTAGAACGCACGTCTTGTTCTTACGGCGTTCCGAACCGTTAGAACAAAAACGAAGTTACACGAACACGATGCACACATACATACCACCCTATTCTGTGCCGCTCGACGCTTGCTGAGAAATCAGCAGTACCTACCTACAAACTCGTACTAAATTATTAGGTGCTGGGTTATCGCTTTTTACTATACCTCTATGGCTCTATAGATACCTAATATAGATTGCTTATTTTATTATGTTTTGTTTTCCCCGGGTCATGCAGCGATCACTCAAGAGTTCACGACGCTGATGCATGAACTGGAACAGTCATCGCAGTTTATATCCGTACTAGCTGTTGCCAGCGGCTTCAAACGCGTGAACTCGAAAATTATCCCATAGGAACGAAATACCTGAATAAACGGTATCAAATGTGTTATTCCAGACCAGGTATAACCTATCTCTGAGTTAAATATCATCCAGATCCCTTCAGCTGTGATTGAGTAACATACATCTATCCATCCAAACTTTCGCATTTATAATATTTAGATAATAATTGTAATTAGTTCTGCCTACCTATAAATTGTCTTCAAAAATACTTACCTGTCTTCTTACTTTGTTTTATATACACACAATATCACTAGATGTAAACACATGTTTTTATCAAGACAAGTGACCCGTCAAGACTGTTTCCTTAGTACCGACGTACTTAGGCAGGTAGGTAGGCAGTTTAGATTTTAGTTTCCACGACGCAGCGACAGTTTGCCAAATTTTGTTGTATATGTTGTGGGTATCTAGGTAATAACAGTAGGTAGACTACCTATCCACCGTCCACGCCGCGCAAGTGATTCTCGTCCCACCTGTCC